GCATGCATGCGTACATACGTACGTACGTACGTACGTACATTTACATGCATGCATCTATGTATGCATACATGTATATGGTCACACATCTATATATGTATACAAATTCATAATATACTACATAAAATCGACATGTACCTATTGGTTTAGGGTTTCGGGTGCTAGGAAAGTCGGGTTGGATGTCTACGGTCTAGGGCCTGTTTAGGGGTTTAGGGAGTTTGTTTTCAAGGCTTTGTTCTCCTGTCGATTTACCCAAATGGTGGGGGCTTAGGTCACCACAGCTAGAATTAGGCTCAATGGCCAGTGGCGTTTGAACCCCTAAATTAACGTTTGGCTTCCCCAAGCACCACCGTTTCCTATCTTTCAGTATTAACAAGGAGACCCCCCTGACAACCCCAAAACTATTACCAAAGAAACTAGCATTCGCTCCGTGTTTGAAAAGGGCTTTAGCACCTCGGGATTTTACAGGAGGGGCTCCTGCTCGTGTTTAGGGTGTTTGGCTTTAGGGTCCGGTTTTTTTCTGGGAGCCCCAAATGGCACTGAAACCCTAAACCGTACTTAGACATGAACGGTTCAGCGTCATAGCCCTGAAGGTTTAGATGATTTCGGCTGATGCAGCTACTGAAACTTGACATCGGCGTGTGGTCTCAAAGCTTTGCAAGTGCCTGGTCGGGTTTCATTTCGAGGGTAATTACTTCCTACCGTAGTATGACTTTCGAGGGCTTCAATGGGGACTGGACGGTTGAGGGCAGGGGTTTCTTCAGTTGAAATATTAGGGTCCCCTGTTGAGCTTCGTGTGAAAAGTGAAAGAGAAACGGCCGCATAAGTCTTCGTGAGGGAGCGTGACCTGGGTTTGGGTTCAGAGGTGCTGTAGGGTTTAGGTTTAAAGCCTTTAGGCTTGGGGGCCTTCTCAATGGGGCAGCTGTTTCCCGAACAATCTTAGGATTGCTAATGCGAGCTGTGTGAAAGCGCCTCGATGGCGATTGCAACCAAGAGAGACCAATGACAACGACAAGCAAGTCAGAGCAACTGCGGGCTCTGAACCCTAAACCCTAAACCGTGAACCCTAAACCCTAAACCCCGAACCAAAAACCCTAAACCCATCTGATCCCTAAGCTGTTTCATAATAAGATGCTCTACTCGACTCTGGGGCTGATAGATATGCCCCGCTAGGGCTCGATGTTGCGCTGCAAGTAAACGTAGATATAAATGAAGGAAACCGGTGATGAATGCTGTGATTGTGTGCATATATTCTTATTTGTACTCACAGACATATATATATATATATATATGTTTATATGCACATGCATACATTAATATGCGGATGTGTGTGTGTGTATGTATTAGATGCATGTATGTGTATGTATATGTATATATGCAGCCAACAATGTACTTATGTGGCTTGCAGCCGTGAACTTGGTACTTTTGTTTCATAGTATATGTACACACACCAGTGAAGAAATGAAGAACTCTGTTGAGGTTTAGCATCCAGGGCGTCGGGCGTCGGGCGTCGGAAGTTGATGCTTCCCGACCATGTGATGAAGGAGTTACTGATCTGCCCGGGTCACAGGTGTTTGAAGTGCTTTACCTGGTTGGGAGCTTCAAACCATTGTTTGGGGGGTGCCCTCTATTTTGACTAGAGGGCCAATGTATACGTGAAACGAAATATGTGCATAGAGAGAGAGAGAGAGACCGATAGAGAGAGAGAGAGAACAAAAAACACAAAACCCTAAACCCCGAAACTACATGGAGCCCTGAAAGACTAAGAAGTGGAGCGACTCCAAATGGCATGACCCGGGATATTCAAGTAGTAGAAGGTAAGAACTTTGCTACTTGGTGGGCTAATGGTACAGAAGGTAAGAGCTTTGCTACTTGATGGGCTAATACAGGGTTACAGGGGCCTGAATGTTCAGAATGGGGAATTGGGGGTAGATGATGGTATAATTAGGCCGGGACTATGACGGGACATGAGTCAAAGTATTCAAGCCCCTATGCGACTCCAGTACATGAGCACATAACTTCTGCTGAGGGGAAGAGAAGCAGCAAAGCCAACAAACACAACGCGGGAAACGTGCAGAAGCCCAACGCCTGAACCAGCAACATGAGCCTAACTTCCAGAGCAAGGAACGAATACTTACCTTCAGCTGCCAAAATAGGTCATTTCTTTGTAGGCATGCCGATAAAGTCGGCATGAGGGCTTATACTGAGACCCCTGCTGAAACATCAGCTTCTCTAAGGTAGGCCGAAGCCTGCTTGGCCGAAGCTCTAAATCGGAATATAGGCGTCTAAATAATTGCCTATACTATTTTGGGGGGCTCCTTACCATAATTAAAGTATATTGGGCTCCAAAACCTACTCTAATTATTACGGCCCCTTTTCTTGCCGGGGCCTTAGTAATTTGAATAGGGTTTTGGGGCCCCTTTACGCTTCATACGGAGCCCAAGGGAATGATATGGGAGTTTCCAAAAATTAGGGGTACCTTATTTGGGGGTCCTTATAATAATAGGTCCTACTATTTAGAGTACTTTTTGAAGGTCTCCTATTTTCGGAACCCCCCCCCATATTGGCTATTGAATATTGATTTACGCTTCTACATGACCTCCGCCAAGAAGCGCTAAGGCAAAACCCCTTCGGCACGTCAACTGAGCCCGAGCTGGATCCGGAGTCCTCCGGCAGAACGAGTTTTCGGGGCTCGGGATGAGACACCGTGGGTTTGGGATGTTGGCATCTTTTTTTGACCCGATTCCTGTTGGACTGCACCTGTGACATCAACATTTGTTCGTTGATTGCCCCTGCTGCTCTGAATCGCATCCAGAATGAAATCTTACTATCATGCTCAACTGGGATCATGTTAATGCCAAGCGAAGCCGAACAAGCGTACTCATCAGAGATCACTGTTCCAGCTGTTTTGACCACTGTTGAAAACTCGAGTTCCAACTTTCGTGGATGGCAGTGCCTTTCACCAAAAGTGGATACACTTATACTATACTATACTATACTATACTATACTATACTATACTATATTATTCTATATACTATTCTATACTAGTCTATACTATACTGTTCAATTTCTATACTATGCGTTCGTGCTTCGGCAATTCAGTGGTAATCCCAGGTCAACTTGAGCCGGCAACTTTACTTCCGGGAGATGCTTACGTGTCACAAAGAGCAGAGTCATATGGGTAGTTCTCTAAATTAGGGTCCGCTTTGGGGTCCCCAACATAGTACGGCACGCTTATAAGAGGGACCCTAAAAGGGACCCTAATTTAGAGAACTACCCATATGCAGTCGTATGGGTTCTTAAACTCACCACCGGACCGGTTCGTATCGCATCCCATTGCGCTAATGTGGTCAATAGAGCTTGCTCTTTGAGGGCCGGAGGCTATAGGCTTGAGGACGCTGCGACTTTCGATAATTATGACTTGTGGCGATGTTTCCTTGAAGAAGTTTGGAAGCGTGAGCGGGCTTCCGTTGAAGTGATCAAGGTTGCTGCTCATAAAAAAAGTGTGCACGTCAAGGTGATAGGGACAAAATCCCACTGCCCAATGCCCCAAGTTGTCCCGTCTGTGAAGCTCAGAGGGTGTACTGCTAGCAACGATGTGCTAGCTTCCCTTACGCGGATTGTCAAGACAAGTGGCGATGGGGCACTAAACAACTCGCTGACAAATGCACTTGGGCCGCGATGATGCTTGAACACATCTTTACGTTCGGATTGCAAGCTATGTGTCTGTGTACAGCTTATCCTTTCGTCGAGGGGAAGGTTCCACTGAAGCTTACAAACCTCACCGGAAAGCAGGGTCAAGTGTTGAAATCTTTGAAGCCCTGCTAAGCTGCTAAGGTCCGTGAAGAACCCTATAAGCAACGGGCCTTCTTCTGCTGCTGCTTGTCGGAAGCTTCAGCATGCGTGCCACGCTGGCTGCCGCCACGCGAACCACCCTGGCTGCCGCTGCTGCTGCTCAGGACCGATGCAAAGACCGTCTGCCTCAAGGTGCAAGGCAGGATAACTTTCGAATCATAAGGGAGATAGGGTTAGGGTTTAGGGTTTAGGGGGACACTATAAGTGTGTTTGGGGGTCTATCAGTCTAGCAAAGCATAACTATAAACGGGCAGCCTAAGGAACAGCATGGCAACCTCATTCCGTTTTCAACATTCTGGGTTTGGGCGGATTTGGGGGATTCTGCTTGGACGTTCAAAACAATATGTTCTATCACGTTTTGGGTTCAGGGTTTTGGGGTTGGGGTATTCTACGATACATAGCAGCACCTAGTGGAATTCAGAGATCAGGGCTCATCCGGATCTCGTGTGTCAGGCTTAGGGTTCGAGTCGGGTTCAACGAAAGGGTAGCAGGTCGGGGGGGGGGGGGGGGGGGGGGTGATAGAGAGAATCCCTAAACCGGAAACCCTAAGCCCTAAACCGCTATGATCTGGATTCGAGATTTCAGTCCCAAGTTCTACGAAGGTAGGGTTTAGGTTTTTGTTCAGTGCATTGCCTTAGGTTTAGGGTTTAGGGTTTGTAGGGCTTAGGGTTTAGGGAATGACGTGGGGTTAGCAGTGGGATAGAAGCCAGTTGGGGTTCAGGCTTCTGGGCTACCCGACTTGGGCGCATGGAGCTCGGATTATCTCGGATTTAGACTTTAATGGCGTTGTAGCATCCCTAAACCCTAAACCCTAAACCATTGGTAGTGTTGCTTTTTTGCGCGTAGGGTTAAGGGTCTGCAAAACTTGGAGAGCCCGTGCCCCTAAACTTCTAAACCCAAGCCGGCCCAAGCCCTTGCCTTCTAAAACGCGTAATATAGGGGCCTTCATAATTAGAACAGGGTTTTGCTGTACATTGTACTATACTTATAATAAGGAGCCCCTACAATAGTATAGGTAAGTATTACGGCCCCTATGTTAAACCCATCACCCCCGAATCGGAGCCCAGCTACTAGCAAGACTGACTAAGGCTCGGGGCTCTTCGTATTGAGTCTCCCCAGAGGCTCCAAGAAGTTTGGTTTCGGGTTGCGAGTTTCGGGTTTAGGGTTTCCGGAACCTGTATCGTTGGGGCCTCAATAGGTAGAACAAGGTCTCGTAGTGTACTATCGTACGCCTATCTAAGAGCCATTCACTTTATTATTAAGGCCCCTACATTAGTCTTCGAGGTTGAGGCCCCGTTCCTCTCAGAGTCTCCCCGGAGGTGTTAGATGGCTCATGCTCATGGGATCATAAGACTTCTTCTGAATGCCCACCCTAAACCCACATGAACCTGGAACAAGCAACACCCCCCCCTCCAAACAAAAAAAACTTTAAACCCGAAACCTCTAAACCCAAAGCCCTGAATCCAGAAACTAAAACCTTGAACCACTGTTAACCTCTAAACCCTAAGCCGTAAATCCAAAACCTAAAACCCTAAACCAACCTAAGCCTCTAAAATTAACCCAAAACTCCAAGCCCTAAACCCCAGATCCCAAACCTAAAGCCCAAAGCCTCTAATGCCATAACCGAAAAAATTAGAACCCTAAACCTCTAAGCCTACTGTAGGGACCTCAATGATTAGAGTAGCATTCATAATAAGGAACCCCCAAAATAGTATAGGTATGTATTTATAGGCCCTATTAGACCTAAAACCAAAACAGATAGACCCAAGGCGCAGCTTCTCCGCGACTGCGGAGGAATCGGAAGAATCACCGTCCTGTTTGCTGCCGTCCTCAAGTCCATGTACTTAGGGGCTGAGTACCCTAGCCCAAAAAAGGTTAACCTTTTGAATTATAGTAGGATCATATAAGCCCCAAAAAGGTAAAGGTTACCTACTCAGCCCCTGAGTGCACCCACAATAATCCCTATAAGGGTGCCTCTATTCCCGTAAGGATGTACCCAGAGGTTCCGATCAGGCTTCTATTCCATTAAGGATTCTAAGAATGCTTTTGGGGTACCCACAGGAACTCCTATAAGGCTTCTATTCCGCTAAGGATTCTGAACACGCTTTTGGGGTTTGCGAAGCCTGCTAAGGGTTTGGGACACCTGGGTTCAAGGGTTATAAGGGGGGCACAAGGGCGGTGGCTTTGCAATTGGACCAGGGCTTTGGGTTAATGTAGGGGCCGTAATGATTAGAATAGGGTTTCAGG